GATATTGTTAAACGTAACAAAAGACACGTTAAGAAAAATATCATTCTTTACGTAATAAAAAATTGATTTCAATATCATTTTAGCACTTTTAAATGAAAAGAAATTTTTGAAATTTTTAAATCTAAATAGTTGTCAAAAAGTTCTTAACATCTACTACGGAATTAATCTATTTTTCTTAATGCTTCTAAAATAAAATAATCGTTTCTTAAAATAGGAATTTTATTATAGTTTTACCTTCGTGTTTCAGTAATTATCTGCCCAAGTACAACTCATAGTTAAACTTTCTCTTTATTTTCTATTTCTGAGCTCAACAAAAGTGTCTTACAATTTTACCCCCATATACCCATAATATTCATTTTCTATAATATATAAAAATTAATTAATGTAAAATAGAAGCATTATATTAAAGATAAACAAGAGCATTAAAACAATAAAGGTAGATAACAGGGCAATTATTTCACATTTTTTTTTATAAAATTTTTAAATGCATTTTACTAAAATATAGATAATTTGTGTTAAAATAAAAAAAGAAAGAAAATAAGAAAAAAAATTAATCATCAAAAGCATAACTGTTTGTTGGTTGGTCCCTTATTTTTCATATTTATTAAACCAATAATAATAGTGAACATAGTAAAAAGCTAATGAAACCTTCGAGGTTTATTGAACTTTTCCTCCTCTATGATTTTTTTTTTGTTTTTTGAATGATAATAGCATTTTGCAGTGGTTTTCCTTACCGTTTTTTTAAATTTTTTTTTGTTTAATTTATTTTAGCAATATACCGATTTTTTTGAATCAGTTATACACAAATAATATGTAGTAGTTATATACATATCGTTATTTAAATAATGTGTTTAACTATTTGTCCAGTAGACCGTAAACTGCTTCAGTAAAGTCTTGTGAAAGTAATGGTTATCATGCAATTCATAAAGAGTGTTATATATTCATGTGTATACAAGCATTATAATGGTATACCATATTCCATTATGTATACATATATATATGTATATTATAAGAAAAATTTTGTATATATAATATGGTGGAAGATACACTCGTAGTTAAAAAAAGATGTAAGCAATTTTTAAGTACATACCAAATAAAATGTATGTAAAGAATACTTCAATATTTATATTTGTAAATTTGTTTGTATATATATTATTATAAAAGCAGGTAATCAACGGTAAATTTTCATCCATCATGAATTGAATTTTTATACCGCATATATTGTTGTTGTATTATCAGATATGTGCAATCTTTTACAAGACTATGGGCCATAATAAAAAGTATATTAGAATTAGATTTAAAGGGCCAAGGTATACCAACCACACTACTGCTGGAAATAGTTCAAAATTTAGGGTTTTAGAAAAAGGACTGCTTGCAATGCGAAATTTCAAAGTTTGCATTTCGTGATTTTTAAATTATTCTTTTTTGAAAAACTTGAATTTTTTGGAATTTTTTTTTAAAATGTACTTGGGGTAGATATGTTGTGTCTATTGAAACTATTTTAACCAGAAATTAATTTTGAGAAAAAATTTTTTTTTTGCTTAATAAAATATTTACGTGGACTGTAGGTTGCATGTTCCTGGTCCAAAAAAATATTGATGGTGCATCAAATTGTAAACTGAATTGAAACTCGTTTTATTTTTCATCTTTTTAGATTGTATTGACTTTTTTCTTTAAATTTTCAATCTCATCCTTATGACGTACATATGGATTCATCAATAGTCTATCTATTATACTATCATACACGTATGTATGTATCTATACAACGTCATCGTATATCTATTTACTCGTACATAAAAAATGATGAATTAAAATTAAGTGATTGCTATATGAAGATTCTCTTATTTTAGTTTTTCTTGTTTTTTAAATGTAAATTTATAAAAATTGAAGAGATTTTTTTATTATTTTTTTCTTTTTTTTTGTAATTTTATGGTTTATTTCACAGCGACTCAAAATTTTACGTAATTAAAAGAAACAAGTTGTGTTTTAATGAGTGGTAATAATATATTATGTATGTAAGTATGTATGTAAATTGATTTTTTTTTTGTATTTATATATATACATCCACTACACTGATAAAAATTTGTTTATATGTATGTATTTTAAAACGTTTCATATTGTTAATTGAAACATTCAATTTGCTTAACTTTAAAAATTATTATATGCAAAGTGCATATTTCAAATGTCCAAAGAACTAATATTTAATTTATAGAACCTGGTACAGACTACGTTATGTTGAATATTCAATATTGAAAGGTTCCACTTATCATTACCATCTCTTTCGTTGACCATTAGTTACTTTTTGAAAACGTTCTACTGAAGCAGCAGTTCATGATCTACTGGACAAACAGTCATAGCATTGCCATAGTGCAGTATAGCTTTCATGCTATGATATGTTGGGTGTCAGTTGAAAGTACAATAACTGTCATGTTATCGTATTTCTATATAATATTTTTATAAATAATTTAGCAATAGGCGATGATATATTTATTTAATTTAGCACCACATTGTATAAGCAATTTGGTAAAAAGTTAATAATGATAATAAAAATAATATTGTCTATAATTGTCTATTCTATTGAAATTTTAAATAGATTTCTAATACAAAAATTATTATATCATATTTGTAAAACTAACACTTAAAAACTTATAGGAGAAATAACCGAAAACATTCAACAAATTATCAAAGAAATGATCGTTGAAATGCAAATTTTTGAGAGAACGAAAATTAATAATATTTATGAAAAAACTATTGAATTAGATAAACTCATCAAGTATTGCCCACCCCCTTCCCCCTTACACACCGAAGCAAATTTTAAATTGATTATAGTTACCCTGTCAACGAAATTACCGTGATATTCGATCGCCGCACACAATTCACCTTATTCAAGTAATTTCACTTTGCTGAATCACTGTCTAATTAAGGTTATAAGTATTTATTAATGAACTACCTTATAACACCGCTTATATTGCTATGTACTGAATCACTACACAATTCAGCTTATAAGTAATTTTTGCTGAATCATTTAACAATTCAGCTTATTCAGTTATTTTGCTGAATTATGCATGTATTATTAATATAGTATTACTGCAATTCCAATATTTCCAGGGTTAATTCTATTTTATCATAATATTAAAAAATAGACCAACTGAAATGATAAGCCGATAAATTTTTGATAGTCTTCGGATTTTGTTCGTATAAAAGCATTTTTGTTTGTTTGTAGGTTCAAATTGGGATTCATTTTTATTTTCAATTTTAAATTTTCTTTTTTTATACACTTATTACGAATAATATAATAAAGATATGAATTTAATGGAATAGAAAGTTAAGAGTTTTCGAAAAAGATTTTTTTCTTTTGATACTTCAAATATTTTCATTTGTTTTTGTTTAAATTTCTGATTTTTAAAATGGATTTTTTGTTTAAGAATAAGAAAAAAAAAAATAAATAAAAAATAAGTATGACTCCTTCATGCCCTAAGAATCAATGCAAACCTCAATAGAATAATTTGGAATGGCACAAGATGCAATTTTTTTTTTTTGTTTATTTTTTTAAGAAGTTTTCCTTCTTTCAATATTCTACATTCATAAACTCGCATATAGATGCATACACAAAAGTAAGGAAAAGATAAAATTGAATTTCAATTGCTTTAAAAGTATTCCCCCTTATCATAACCTTTAACTATTTCTTAGACTTTTTCAATTAGGGTCCTTTTGTTTTTAATATTTTTTTTTTTCAATATAAAAATATAGTGGTTTAGCTTTTTTTTATTTTTGGAAATTGAACTTTGCCTTTCTTACGAAGTGAATAGCATTATAGTTACGATTATTTTATACCTATACATTCTTCTCTCGCTTTTCTCTTATTTAAAGAAAAAGTTTAAAGTTTCTACCTGATAAAAATGGCATAGATATGACATTACATAATCCGAGTACATGTAGTATATACCCAGACTATACCCAAATAAGTATATAAAATGCTCATATTTGAAAAGTTATAAGAATTTATCAATGTGGATCAAGTTTTATTTAATAAAGATTTCAGAAGATGTTGAAATAAATTTTATTTTATTAGTTTTGAGTAAGTATATTGGGGGAAATAAATTTTAAATTTCTTTGGCAATATAAAATTATTGAAATTATTTTTATTTCAAGATTTTAAAATTTATTTAACGAAACATATAATAATTTCAAATAGAGATCGTAAGTGACGTATGAATTGATTATTTATAATTCGGATGCTAGTGAATTTCAAAGAAATTATCAATGCAGTGGTTGGCGTAATACTCTTGTGAATGAGAGCTGCCCATTCTTCTAGAAAATGTACTGCAGCCTTCTTGCCCTCTCTATACATGGAATTTTGAAATTAAAATTACTTAAAATGTATACACTCTTGTTATTGTTTAAATTCTCAAATTTTTGAATTGAGAATATGGAGCTATTTAACTCGATTTCGACTTAAAACGACTTAAGATGTTTTGGCTTAAAAGTACAGAATTTATGATTATAAATATTAAACAAATAAAGGAAAAATTTAGTATTGAATTCATGAAAACTTCTATATGACCTGCCGCTCATTCCACAAATTTACTGACACAAACAATTGAATTTAAGCTTATTAATTTTCACTATATCAATAAATCTAGTTGAAAGGTAATTTTATTAAATTTTGAGCCCAATATCTTCAGATTAAGAATTCAATTTTGTATATAATTTTTAAAGTAAACTTACGGTGTAATCTTAATAAATAAATGTTTTTAAAAAATTTATATGTTTTATGCATGTACATACAAACATACAGTGCATAAATGTAATGCGAACATTTTGTTGTGTAATAAAAATTCATGTTTTACAAGTATAAAAGAATTTAGGTCAGTAAAATAAAAATTTCGCAATAAATTATAATAGTAAAAAATATTTTTGTAAATTTTTCAAATTGATTACAAAAATTTATCAAATCACAAAAAAAGAAAATAATATAGAGAAAAACTTTAAAAACTTACCGATATTCAATTTTCAAAATTTAATTGAAACGCATAATGTTTTGTAATAAATTGATTATTTTTGTGCAACCAACATGTGTGTGACCTAGAAATATGCAAAAAATAAAAATTAATTTTCATTTTTAATAAATTTCTTGATTTTAGTTAAAAAATTTATATGCATATATAAATAATTTTATATGTCTATAAGAAGAGTAGCAAGATAAGAATGTGATATTCAGTTATTCCGTTCCGTTCCAGGTAGAAGTTCCGTTTCGTTATAAGTTCCGTTCCAGGTAGATGTAGAGTCAAATTATGCCTATTTTTCCGAACAAATTGCGTGGCAGGCAGATATTTTTTTCATATTATAACCGCTTCTTTAATCCGGTCTGTTCATTTGAGAAATTGGGTTCTATCGACTGATATGGCACATATGTATGTACGCAGGTATGTATATCGGAGATGCAATTTAGTTATAACTAAGTATTATACAAGTTATTTGGTTAACTGTTTAAATTGAGTATACACAAACTTACTTACATACAATACGAAAGTAACATAAAATATCTATTGTACCTTGAAAAAGATTCAATTATAAAGCCGTTCATATGTGAGTATATTTGCGTATATAAATATGCGTGTATATGCAATTTATATAAATTTGTAATCTTAAGATTATTTGCGGTTTCTTTTTTTTTTTGTGACTATGTGAATATAAACATCTTCATTTCTTCTATTTATTTCTAGTTTCTTTTCTTTTAGCTAAGGATTAAAGTGCTTACTTAGTTCAAGATGTTCCTCTCTTTGAGTACTCGTCACATAATAATGTTAAAGAAGAGAAAAATTAAACAAAAAAAAAACCCGATTTCTATTCGTTAAGAGTGTGTGATAAAGCAAAATTCTGTATTTTTATCATAATATTGATTTGGTAAAAATACTAGTAAAATATAAAAGAAATAATGATATTGATAATGATTATGATGATGAAAATGATTATCAACAATCACGTTATTTACCTTTGTGCTGCAATCGACAAGAAAATTTACGTATTTTTTTTAAAGAAGTGCTTTTTTATTCAAACGTACATAATACTATCTAATTATGTAAGCACATACTAAACATACAGGTATAAACATCTATATAAATATATTATACTACATATTATTGCATGCCGGGGAGTTTGATTGTATTTATTTAGCATTATACAAATAAGAATCAAATGAAAAAAATCGTTATTTGTTTGTTGAGTTTACGTTTATTAGCTTCAACTTTAGTGGGTAGTTGTAACTAGTTTACATGTACAAAATTTTCTAGCGATTGCTAATGTAACTAATTAGTCGTATACATACATACATATATATGATTATCATATTAAAAATAATTCTTTTCAAACAAATAACTAAAATATATGAGAAAAACTTTAAGTTTTGTGCATTAAGTTTATTAATAACCTTTCAAATACCACTTCGGCACGAGTTTTATTTAAATTCCAACTTTAATGTTTAAAATATGCACAGAGAATTGACTGATGATTTAACAAATTTTATTGATTCATCATTAAAACAAGATGAAATGCCTAAGATCATCAAAATTAACAAGGCTATACCTATTTATAAGAACATGTAGGAAATACGGGTGAAACTAAAAATTTTCCCCCACAATCTCTTCTTATTCATCCAGTTTGTATAAAATTCCTGAAACAATTGTTAATTAGTACTTAATAAATCCAAATCTCATATGTAAATAAGTGACAACCTCACAAGCAGCTTTGTTTGAAATAATAATAAAAATACAGTCACAAATTGAGAGTGGCAATAAGGCTATGATTTTGCGATGTAAGAAAAAGCGTTTGATTCGGCTGATAGCCGAAATCAAAGCTATAATGAATATATTGGTTTCGAAGCCACTTATCCGATTGGCAGAAATATACTGAATGTTATCACTTGAAGTGCATATGCATGTAAAATTAACTCAAATTACACAAATCCAAAGTCATCCTATTGTTATATGAATGAACTTAAATTTTACTTTATATTTCAGTCTCAATATTGTTGTATTCCAGTTTTAACTGTATTAAAATTTTATGTTTCATATACAAGTTTTTAAATATGGCATTTTGTTTTGAGCATTTTTTTAATGAATAAAACTGGTTTTGATTATGCATTTTTATTTATATTTTATTAATAAATTATATTAACTCCATTTTTAGTTGACACAATAATAACAATAAATTTTAGAATTCAAGAAATCTAGATTCTAGAATAGGTACAATAAAAACAATAAACAACAACATTGCTGAGTAATATTAAGAACAGAAATTAGAAACAGAAAAATATTGTATATAGTTTGGAAATTGGTTGGTTATGAAAATTGAACAGTAAAGTATAAAGAAAAAAAAGAAGGAGAAGAAAAAAGGTGAAACTCAAAGAAGTCTAGCCAAGCGTTCACAATATATGAAAATACAGCGAAAAAAAAATAAAGCCAAATCAACAAAAAGAAAATATTAAAAATTTTAATGAGTCTTTATGACCATTTTCGGATCCATTTTCATAGCACAAGAATTTCTTTAATATATAAAAGAAATATTGAAAATACAAAAAAAATTTAAGAAAATTTTGTTAAGATGGCAGTATTAAGAGTGCAGACCATTAAAGTCATATTACACATAATGTTAAAAATATGCTCTTTAGTTGCAAAATCGTTTATTTTTACAATAATTCTGCTTTGCTAGATAATTCGGTATTTCACAGTTCAATGAATGAAATGAATATTAACATCAAATTACTACAATTTACTTGTAGGGAACTTTAAATATTGAGCTCGAAGTACTGATGGCACAATAGCGGAACAAAAAAATAATCCGGCTAATCCAAACATCGTATGAAGAAGCCGAACTCGGGAGCTATACAGGACTACCCACTTTCATTGGTGATCTTCGCAATCGTGCTAGACAACATACTACAACCCTTCTGCTCGTGAAGAAGGGACATAATCTTGAGTTTCACCCAAAAAACTAGTGAACCTAAGCTTTGCAAATGATATCTCTATTCTCTTGTACAAATTCATACTCCTCAAATGAAATTTGTTAACAGTTCTTGTTACTTGGGCAGCAACATAACACTTAATGGCGGTGCCGAGAAAGGGATAGATAGCAGGATTAAAAAGGTAAGGGCTGCTTTCGAAAGGTTGCAGTCGTGATGGAGAAGCAACCAGATATATAGAGCAACCAAGCGCAGAATACATATTCGACTCGTGTGTGGAAACAGTCCTGACATATTGTAGCGAAACCTGACTAAAATCAAAAGCTATATGCTAGAAGTCTTTATCTTCAAATGAATAATATTAGAAAGCGAAGGTTTTGATGAAAACGTAAGGAAGAAAAAAAAACTAATGCAATTCACTATTTAAGGCTGATTTTAACTTAAATAAATAAGGTAGTTTTTCATGTCATGTAGTACTTTGTAGCACTATCGCAAAATGGACATATTTTGTAAGACTCTTTAATATTAATCATTGTTAACTTGGTTTAAAAATTTCTTTAATAATTTTTAAAATATGAAAATTAAACGAATAAAACAAGAGTTATTAAGTTTACTTTCAGGAGGAACATTACATATTCTGTAAAATTACATTTGTTGTACATTATTACAAGCACAATATTTACATGCAAGCCGTTATGTATAAAATATGTACATACATACATTTTATGTTCACTTTTATCGATAAAATTGTAAATTGAATTACTACATATGTACATACATTAAAAAAAAATTTAATAAAATTTTTTAATAAAAAATCAAAAGAAATTCTAGCATAAATTTTCTTTGTATATAATGCAATATATTTAATTAAATCTTATGTGTTTTAATTTTCAAAATTTATTTGTAATAAAATATTTGCAAAATTTTTCTTTATTAAATATTATGTTTACATAAATTTACAGTAAAACCTCTAACAGATGAACACTCAAATTTGGTTTATTTTAAATAGTCCAGCGTATTTTTATTTCAATCGAGCAGCTGTATTGCACCGCAACAGTAGAATTAGGAGGTAAATATTGTTTTAAAGAATCTATGTTTGCAGCTCAAAAGATTTCTATAGATATTGCAACTTATAGTAAATTTTTACTGCTTTTATTAGAAACAAAAATAATTATAAATGTAGTATACTATGATTTTTTGGAACTATTAGGTACAACTAATTTCATGCCCATTGATTTATCATTTACATTATACACTATCCCTTAATTAAATCTTCTACTGTATATATACATATATATATATATATATATATATATCAATAATTTATTTTTATTTATTTTGGTGGTGATTACTTTAAAAATTTATATATGATTTTCATTTTATTATTGTATTTTGGTATATGCACGGATTAAAATTCATATAGAGATCTCAAAAAATTTTAAAATAATTTTTTTTTAACCATATTACAACTCTCCCCCCGCCCTGTTTTATCTTTTTCCGTTTTACATTACAACTCCTTGCATTTATAAACACAGAAAGAATGTATGTGTAAACTTGTAAAAGAGCAATATGTATAATTTTTTTTCAGAATCTATATGAAAATCACAAATCAAAATTTTTTATTTTAAATATAATCGAATTATTTTTGATGAAAAATTTGATATTTTCTACTCTGAATAATAATTTTAGTTTCTCTTTTTTGGAAAATTTTTAAAATAATATATTTACATACATAAGTAAGTATATATATTTGTATTGAATTTTTTTATGAAAATAAAATTTATGTAATTTAAATTATAGGTATACAATTTTGTAAATCTAATATATTTAGACACATATATATGTAGGTAAAAACTAGTGTTTGTGTTTTTATGGAAAATTTTAGTATTTGAAGTTATATTAGTTGTATTTTTTGTTAGAAATTGAAATTTCAGAACCTAAACATGATATGAGAAAGTTTAGGGTTTGAATGAGTATGTATTTAACGATATTTTTGGTAATTTGAAGATAATATTCATAAAATCACTCAACTTCATGATAGCTTGATAATATTTTGTCTATATTTGATTTTTTTAAATTGATTAAAAGTTAATTATCTCGGCTAATTAAGTTAGAGTCGACATAG